ATTTTTCAAAAATTTAAGTTTGAAGATTTTAATGCCAATCGATTGGGAATTTAATTACGAGCTCAACGAGGTATCACATTCCTTAATCTGACTTCATTTCGCAATTTGTCGACCAAAATACTGATTTTTTTTGTGCAAAAATAGGGAACCTTATTTTTTGACGAAAAATGCGTTATTTTTAGGGCGTTTTTATGTCGTAATTTAGTCAAATCGGGGCGCACAACAAAAAGACCGACTGTTATGAGCAGCTAACAACCAAGGCTATCGATCCGTATCATAAATCGGGGAATTTATTTTATGACCCATTTTCGCATTTTTTGTAAGGGGTTGTATCATCTATTTTTTTCGAAAATTTTTCAAAAATTAAAGTTTGAAGATTTTAATGCCAATCGATTGGGAATTTAATTACGAGCTCAATGAGGTATCACATTCCTTAATCTGACTTCATTTCGCAATTTGTCGACCAAAATACTGATTTTTTTTGTGCAAAAATAGGGAACCTTATTTTTTGACGAAAAATGCGTTATTTTTAGGGCGTTTTTATGTCGTAATTTAGTCAAATCGGGGCGCACAACAAAAAGACCGACTGTTATGAGCAGCTAACAACCAAGGCTATCGATCCATATCACAAATCGGGGAATTTATTTTTTGACCCATTTTCGCATTTTTTGTAATCTATTTTTTTCGAAAATTTTTCAAAAATTAAAGTTTGAAGATTTTAATGCCAGTCGATTGGGAATTTAATTACGAGCTCAACGAGCTATCACATTCCTTAATCTGACTTCATTTCGCAATTTGTCGACCAAAATACTGATTTTTTTTGTGCAAAAATAGGGAACCTTATTTTTTGACGAAAAATGCGTTATTTTTAGGGCGTTTTTATGTCGTAATTTAGTCAAATCGGGGCGCACAACAAAAAGACCGACTGTTATGAGCAGCTAACAACCAAGGCTATCGATCCATATCATAAATCGGGGAATTTATTTTTTGACCCATTTTCGCATTTTTTGTAAGGGGTTGTATCATCTATTTTTTTCGAAAATTTTTCAAAAATTAAAGTTTGAAGATTTTAATGCCAATCGATTGGGAATTTAATTACGAGCTCAACGAGGTATCACATTCCTTAATCTGACTTCATTTCGCAATTTGTCGACCAAAATACTGATTTTTTTTGTGCAAAAATAGGGAACCTTATTTTTTGACGAAAAATGCGTTATTTTTAGGGCGTTTTTATGTCGTAATTTAGTCAAATCGGGGCGCACAACAAAAAGACCGACTGTTATGAGCAGCTAACAACCAAGGCTATCGATCCATATCACAAATCGGGAAATTTATTTTTTGACCCATTTTCGCATTTTTTGTAAGGGGTTGATCATCTATTTTTTTCGAAAATTTTTCAAAAATTTAAGTTTGAAGATTTTAATGCCAATCGATTGGGAATTTAATTACGAGCTCAATGAGGTATCACATTCCTTAATCTGACTTCATTTCGCAATTTGTCGACCAAAATACTGATTTTTTTTGTGCAAAAATAGGGAACCTTATTTTTTGACGAAAAATGCGTTATTTTTAGGGCGTTTTTATGTCGTAATTTAGTCAAATCGGGGCGCACAACAAAAAGACCGACTGTTATGAGCAGCTAACAACCAAGGCTATCGATCCATATCACAAATCGGGGAATTTATTTTTTGACCCATTTTCGCATTTTTTGTAATCTATTTTTTTCGAAAATTTTTCAAAAATTAAAGTTTGAAGATTTTAATGCCAGTCGATTGGGAATTTAATTACGAGCTCAACGAGCTATCACATTCCTTAATCTGACTTCATTTCGCAATTTGTCGACCAAAATACTGATTTTTTTTGTGCAAAAATAGGGAACCTTATTTTTTGACGAAAAATGCGTTATTTTTAGGGCGTTTTTATGTCGTAATTTAGTCAAATCGGGGCGCACAACAAAAAGACCGACTGTTATGAGCAGCTAACAACCAAGGCTATCGATCCATATCATAAATCGGGGAATTTATTTTTTGACCCATTTTCGCATTTTTTGTAAGGGGTTGTATCATCTATTTTTTTTGAAAATTTTTCAAAAATTAAAGTTTGAAGATTTTAATGCCAATCGATTGGGAATTTAATTACGAGCTCAACGAGGTATCACATTCCTTAATCTGACTTCATTTCGCAATTTGTCGACCAAAATACTGATTTTTTTTGTGCAAAAATAGGGAACCTTATTTTTTGACGAAAAATGCGTTATTTTTAGGGCGTTTTTATGTCGTAATTTAGTCAAATCGGGGCGCACAACAAAAATACCGACTGTTATGAGCAGCTAACAACCAAGGCTATCGATCCATATCACAAATCGGGAAATTTATTTTTTGACCCATTTTCGCATTTTTTGTAAGGGGTTGATCATCTATTTTTTTCGAAAATTTTTCAAAAATTTAAGTTTGAAGATTTTAATGCCAATCGATTGGGAATTTAATTACGAGCTCAATGAGGTATCACATTCCTTAATCTGACTTCATTTCGCAATTTGTCGACCAAAATACTGATTTTTTTTGTGCAAAAATAGGGAACCTTATTTTTTGACGAAAAATGCGTTATTTTTAGGGCGTTTTTATGTCGTAATTTAGTCAAATCGGGGCGCACAACAAAAAGACCGACTGTTATGAGCAGCTAACAACCAAGGCTATCGATCCATATCACAAATCGGGGAATTTATTTTTTGACCCATTTTCGCATTTTTTGTAATCTATTTTTTTCGAAAATTTTTCAAAAATTAAAGTTTGAAGATTTTAATGCCAGTCGATTGGGAATTTAATTACGAGCTCAACGAGCTATCACATTCCTTAATCTGACTTCATTTCGCAATTTGTCGACCAAAATACTGATTTTTTTTGTGCAAAAATAGGGAACCTTATTTTTTGACGAAAAATGCGTTATTTTTAGGGCGTTTTTATGTCGTAATTTAGTCAAATCGGGGCGCACAACAAAAAGACCGACTGTTATGAGCAGCTAACAACCAAGGCTATCGATCCATATCATAAATCGGGGAATTTATTTTTTGACCCATTTTCGCATTTTTTGTAAGGGGTTGTATCATCTATTTTTTTTGAAAATTTTTCAAAAATTAAAGTTTGAAGATTTTAATGCCAATCGATTGGGCATTTAATTACGAGCTCAACGAGCTATCACATTCCTTAATCTGACTTCATTTCGCAATTTGTCGACCAAAATATTGATTTTTTTTGTGCAAAAATAGGGAACCTTATTTTTTGACGAAAAATGCGTTATTTTTAGGGCGTTTTTATGTCGTAATTTAGTCAAATCGGGGCGCACAACAAAAAGACCGACTGTTATGAGCAGCTAATAACCAAGGCTATCGATCCATATCATAAATCGGGGAATTTATTTTTTGACCCATTTTCGCATTTTTTGTAAGGGGTTGTATCATCTATTTTTTTCGAAAATTTTTCAAAAATTAAAGTTTGAAGATTTTAATGCCAATCGATTGGGAATTTAATTACGAGCTCAACGAGGTATCACATTCCTTAATCTGACTTCATTTCGCAATTTGTCGACCAAAATACTGATTTTTTTTGTGCAAAAATAGGGAACCTTATTTTTTGACGAAAAATGCGTTATTTTTAGGGCGTTTTTATGTCGTAATTTAGTCAAATCGGGGCGCACAACAAAAAGACCGACTGTTATGAGCAGCTAACAACCAAGGCTATCGATCCATATCACAAATCGGGAAATTTATTTTTTGACCCATTTTCGCATTTTTTGTAAGGGGTTGTATCATCTATTTTTTTCGAAAATTTTTCAAAAATTAAAGTTTGAAGATTTTAATGCCAATCGATTGGGAATTTAATTACGAGCTCAACGAGGTATCACATTCCTTAATCTGACTTCATTTCGCAATTTGTCGACCAAAATACTGATTTTTTTTGTGCAAAAATAGGGAACCTTATTTTTTGACGAAAAATGCGTTATTTTTAGGGCGTTTTTATGTCGTAATTTAGTCAAATCGGGGCGCACAACAAAAAGACCGACTGTTATGAGCAGCTAACAACCAAGGCTATCGATCCATATCACAAATCGGGAAATTTATTTTTTGACCCATTTTCGCATTTTTTGTAATCATCTATTTGACTAAGCAGACTAAGTTCAGATTAGGAATAATGCAGAGAGTTATCAAAAAGTAAGTTAAAGTACTGGATTTGAATTCTTTTGTTCTATTTTTTAGTGTTGTAACAATATGTAGCCATCTTTTGGGATGTTATGGAATTAGTAAGGTCTGCTGACGCCAGGTGGGGCCGATAAATTCTACATTTAGCTCGCCATCTAGCGGAAGCCGACGGCGTATCCTGTATCATTCTAATCTATTTTACACGGCCAACACCAACATCTACATTATTTTTACAGGACCTTCTGCATCCTCCACCTGGCGTATAAAAGCCGAACTAAAATAAAATGTAAGCTCTATTTCAAATTAAAATAATAATAAAAGGGCTTAAAAAAATTACTCTCATAGAATATATGGTTAAATATTGTTAAATACTAAGATTTATATATTCTGGAATGATAAATTGTTATCGTTGTTAAAAAAATCAATCCAAAAACCCTTTAGCCTCTCCTCTTCTGTGAAATAAAAGACATCAGATATTTATGTATATTTCGTAACAAATCGAAAATTGTTTTTATTACTTTCTGATCAAAATCATACAACGTTGTCAATTCGTTTTGTTGATTACTCAATTATCGCATTATAATAATGTGTTTTTGGTTTATGTTTGGTTTTGTTTGTTTTTTTTGTGTTTTTCGTTTTTTTCGTTTTGTATTTTTAATCTTGGTTGTTTTTTGTTTTTACGTTTGTTGCTTGCTTTCTTTAATAATAATTTATAATTATAATAATTTATATAATAATATTTTATAATATTACTTGGTAATTTATTAATTCCCATCAACGTCCCTGGCCTTTTTGTTTGTTTTTGTTTTTTTGGGCGTGTCGAGGGCGGGGGGCGTGGCTCGGGTGGAGAGTTCCCCCGCCCCTTTGCAACCCACTGGGCTCATTCGCTTTACTTTCTCATTTTTGCTTTGCTTTCTCTTTGCCTTTACTTTACCTTTAATGCATATGATTTTTGGTTTTATTTTCGTTTCGTTCTGCCATTTTTTAGTTGTATTTCATTTTATGTAATGCGCCTGCTGCAATAATTTTAGTTTGTAAAATTAACTAATCGTAAAATGTGTGAGTGTGTGTGGCTGTGTGTGAGTGGGTGTATGTATACTGATGCGACTGTCTGCGGTCTGTCTGTGTGTGTGTTTGTGGGTGTTTGTGTTATTTACAAGTCGATTTTTTGTTCAGTGTCTTAAATGTTAGGTGTTCTCGCCTCCACTTCCGTTTCCGCTTAGTACTCACTCCTCCTCGCTTTATTGCATAGTATTATTATTACTGTTATTCGTATTGCTGACGTATGTATATAATATATATATCTGCATACCGCCCTGTGTTCGTGTGTGTGTGTGTGTTTGAGTGTATGTAGTTCGATTATGTCCGCCTGTTAGAGTGTATAATTTATTACTTAGTCTGCTAAAAATTCACGTTTATATCCTCAATATAGGGGCTTCATATAAGTGTATGCCATGTATTGTATATATATTTGTTTTGCCTCCTCGTTCTCCTTCTCCTCCTCCGATCGGATCGATTCGATTAGTATAGACTAAAAACTCTCGTCACTGGTATTATGCATATAGTATATGTGTGTGTATATGTATGGCGACCGGGGCACGTGTGCATATATGTATATATGTATATATACGTATATACCGGCCATATATCGACGGATATCGGATATATGATCGCATATGTGATCTATATGACCGCGCCACCGACCTATCCTATCCTGCCTGGCTCTCCCCTCTCGCTACCATTACCGTTATCCTTATCGTCATCGCTATCGCTATCGTTTCCATTTGCCATCAATAATAAATTGATTCGTTTAATAATGTTAATTGTATGTTACTTATATGGGGGCCTTAAGACCTAATTCGTACTGCCTACGTGTTTTCGTTTCGTTTTCGTTTCGTTTCAAGTTTTCCATGTCACTCATTTGAAAATTTATAAACTGAGGACGTTTCCTTGTGTGTGTGTGAGTGTGTCAGAGTGTGTGTGGTGTCAAGTGTGTGGGTATATATATATATGGGCGTATATATATACCTATATAGCTTCAAATTAAAGCTTTATTAACCATGCTCGCGTTTTGTTTTCGTATTAACAAAATTAAACGTTCCGTAATAATCGTACTCAAGACTCAATAATCGATAATCATAAATTACGATAACTGCACGTTATAACTAGTTAAATGTCCATTACCGTTACCGTTTACCTTTACCTTTTACCATTTACCATATACCGTTAGCAATTACCATACAAGTACTAGTACAAAAAAAAGATCGGATCTACACCTCTATCGACCTCTATCGACCTGGATCGATTATTATCGATCATCTGCGATTTGCGCTCGACTTCGACTTCCACTGGCTAGTTGTATGCGGTATGTGAGTTATCGATAGGTTTGTATATCTGTATAATTATGCTATATCCACATACCTAGATATATCTGTGTGTATATAAGAGATACAAACTAGAAGTACGCTTAATGCCTAAAAGTATTCACTAGATTCGATCTACTCCTTTCAGCTCCTATATCAGCTTTCTTAATTCGCATGTCCTTCGCTCCAGTGGTTGTGCATCTGTAGTTGTGGTGGCCATTGTAATTGTATTCATAATTGTTGTTGTGATCTCGATTTTGCCATCGATTTCGCTTTCGATTCTTGGGGGTGTGCGTATCTAGGGGTGGTGGTCTTTCGATAGGAATGGGGATGGAAAGTAATCGACGTCTTTCATTGGATATGTGCGAGTGTCTCTAGTTAACAAAAAAGTTAATAATCAATTTGAAGCAGCTGAAGACCGGGGGCTCTCCGCGGGAACGGGGACCCTCGCCATCTGTGCTGGGGGCTGGGGAAATCTATCGTTTATCGGTTATCGAAGTCGGTTTAGTCTAATATTGCGTGTATAAGTTGCGTACTCCTTAACGGGTTTAGTGTACAAATATGAATGCTTTATCTTGATTTTTTTTTCGTTTGTTCTCTTTTGTTTGCCATTTGTTACTGCTTTAAAATCTTTGTTTTTACTTCAGTTCTTTTTGAATTTCATTTTTGTGTAGATTTGTTGTTCTCTGTCTGCGTCTGCCTTTCTGCGTTTGTTCTTCTCCTTCTGCTCCTCTACCCACTTTTCCATTTTCCATATATTTATAGTTGTTTTTACTTTTTGTTTTGTATAAATACTCAATGCATTATTTAATTATTATTAATTATTTAGTATTCGTTATTAAGTGTAATCAAAATTCCTCTAGTTGAAGGCAATCGGCGAATATATTTGAAATTATTTATGCAATTATTTTACATACGTTTGTTTCGTTTTATCATTTACATTCCATTACGTTTGACTAAACTTAGGATCTCGTGGAAAACAAGTTGAAATACAAATAGTTCCTTACTCTGACTGCTTTTCTATGTAATTTTATAATTTCATAATATTATAATTTCATAATTTGTCTACCTGCCAGCCTGCTGCTTTTTGCCGTTCGCTTTTGTCTGGTTAAAAAGTCATCTGAATCTGGAAAACTTAGGTGTAATTTTGCTAAAGATGTCTCGCTCTACAGTTACCAACTAATCCACTTCGTTATAAAACACTTTATATATAGGTATATGCTTGTATATATATATTTTTATATATATGCAGGGTGTTCGTATGTATGTATGTATGTATGTATGTATGTATGTCGGCTATGTACAGGTCGTGTGTAAGGGTTGTCCTTGTGTTAAAAGTTAGGCTTACTCGTAAGTTGCTTTTAGTAAAAAAAATGCTCACCGACTCGACTCTCGGCCTCTATATAATATATATACACGGTTTGCTGGTTGATCGATCGGTCTTACTTGAAAATCACTTTAAGGCAGTTTCCTATACACTCCATCAAATGCTGCTCGCTAACTTTGCTGCTGAACTCTGGGCCACCAACGAAATAAATCTCTTTCTATCACTTTCAAGCCTTTGAGATCATGGGACGTGGCATTAGTATAGAATTTAATAAAAACAATAAACAAACAGTAAAGGAAATTAACAGTAACAAATTAAAACTAACTCACACTTAAGCTGGCAAACACAGTATTTTGACTAAAGTGAATCATTTATGCTATGTTGGAAGACAATAAATTAGCTGCTTGTAAAAATCCCCAGCCACGCCCCCTTAGTCCAGGAATAGTGGAAAACTTTCCCTCGGCATTTCAGTCCTGGACCCTCGATCTCGCCTAAAAAGTTCCTTTCACTAATTATTGTCTGCTATTTGTTCACACACACACAAATTGATATATACGCTAAGTGACTAAAGTAAGCCTGAGCCGCAATCCGATATAGGCTATCGACTGACTATCGGATGTATTGGCTATCGGATATCGAAAATCGGAAAAAACGAAACGAAGGAGCGTCAAAGTCAAAGTCGTGGGCATAGTTATTGATCTAGATACGAGTTCGATTTTACGATTTATCGATTATGTTTCGCTTGTCGGTTGTAATATTCAGCAATTTTGTATATTTTCGCTTAGTGCTATTAATTGGGTGTTGTAAGGTTTTGGTTTTAGCTTTAGCTTCGTAAAAATTTGTCTGAGAATGTGAATTGGCAGTTTCAATTTGTATGCAATATTTGTTTATTTGTTCTTTACAATTTTGATTCGATTAGTATACAATTAAAAAATGCTTTCGCTTCCTAATAAAAAGTTCTCACTATTCGATTCGATTCGATTCTGCTAGGGAATTCAACTAAATTGTATTTTTATCGTTACCGTTGCGCTAATCACTCACTAATTCGATTTAAAATATAAGTTACGAGTATTTCACCAATATGCTTCACTAATTGTTGCTTTTAGTTCGATTCGATTTCTTGGTTCATTTTTTATTGCGTTTTTGAGCCGTGAGAAATTGACTTTCTTCTTCGTTTTTTTTTTGTTTTGCTGTTGTTGTGCTGGTGCTGAGAAAGATAGACAGAGACAGGGATAAAGATAGAGAGAGAGAGGAAGAGTGGGTGGAAGTGAGTGGATAATATGTAAGGCAACCCCAAAAATAAAACCAAATAAACAATGATATGTATACAAGTCTCGTTTTTATTGCACGAAAGAACAAATGAGTGAGAAAGTACGGTAGAAGTTACAGAACTTAAGCTTTAACTTAGCCACCAAAGAATACATAATAATTATACACAAATAATATGGCAGAAACTAAATTCGGACCGGGAACAAGCCAACAAACAAACAAACAAATTGACAAGCAAATGAACAAACAAAGGACAAACACATATTCTGAGATTCCGGGTCACTGAAAAGCAAGAAACAGAATTTTCCAATATTTTACAGATGTTTAAAATGGGATGAACAAGAGAGATGGCCTGTTTCCACTGACTTTGTGAGTAAAATCGCACTGTTCACACTTTGCATTTGATACAATTTCGACATAAGATGATTGTAGTGGAAACAGGCTGTTAAGTTTGGAAATAGTTTAAAGATTAGTGTAAAAGAGACGGGATAAGAGGGTGTGAGAGAGAGAGGGAGGGAGAAGTGCCGTGCTGTGTGGTGAAAAGTGGACAGAACTGTACCGGAGGTGTTGAAACGTGGTGAAAAGTCATCGATGCCTGTTTCCGCTTCCGCTTTCGTTCCTGCTTTCATTTTCATTTCCGTTTCCGCCTGTGCTTATTGCTTCTAGGATTGCGTCTATGAAATGTCCTTCTTAACCTCTAGATTCAGCTAGTACATTTTATATATTGCGGCAAACACTTTGAAAAATAAAGTCTTGCTTTTTTTGTTCGTTTGCATTTGCATTTGCTTTTGCTTTTGTTTGTTTGTTTGATCGCCCCTAGACCTGTTACGATATTTTACAATTGCTTTTAGTTGGAGTTACGAGTTACGAGATACGAGAGATTCCATCTTGAGCTACACTAATATTCCTTCCTCCTTTTCGTTTCTTTTTTTGGTTTTTCATTAGCCTAGCATTGTAGATCATATACGTATCGCTTTAACACTATCGACTAATGGCAATTTCCTTGTAATATGCTTACGTTTTGGTATGGTATTCCTTCTTATTTCGCCCCCCTATAATTACAGTGTAAGTATACTCGATATTTATACATTTGCTTTTCGTTTACTGTTTGTGGTTTTGGTTGTGTTTTACGTGTGGTTGTATCTGTATCTGTATGTGTGTGTGACTTAACCTACGAATCCACGAAGAAAAAAAAAACGCAGACAAAAATGGTTCAGTTTGAACTAGAATTACAATTACTTCACTTAGTTGGCTATAAGCTGTTAAAAAAAAGTACGCTAAAATTACTTATTACCATTTATTGTTACATTTATTGTTTTTTCGCTTCAACATTGCCCCCACCTTCTTCTCCTCCTCCCTCTAAATCGTAATGCGTCTTGAGTATGCTGAGTAGTGTGAGTAGACGGAAAAAAGCACTCAAATTAGATGATTCTAAATCCCAAGTCCGAAATCCGAAAGTAATTCCCGAAAGGAGTGAGAGGTTGAGCAGGTCCATACCGGCAATTCCTGATTTTTCGTGACAAGGAACAATCTTCGGGGGTAAATTCCTTTCGCTTTTTGGTGTACTTTAGGCATTGCAGGCTCAGCCCCGCGAGAAAAACCCTCCATTCTAGACCCTCTCCCATTTAGTTTTTTTTTCATATACGGTCTTTAACTATTTTAACTTGATTTTACTTTAACTGGTTTTGTTGGCAGTGACATTTGTTGTTAGATTTGCATCTCTGGCTTGGCTTTTTCTGGCTGTGTACTTATTTTGTTGGTCGTCCTTTGAGAGATGTGGAAAATGCGTGGGGGTGACTGGTTCTTTGGTCCTTTTCTTGGGGGATACGGAAGTCGCTTGGAACCCAGATCAAGGATCGGGTTTCCAAAAGAGAGAGAGAGAGATCGGAATCAGGATGGGATCTCCCAGCGGATATAGAAAGTATAGAAGGGAGGCGCGCTTCAAAAGGTTTTCTGGACGGATATTACGATTTGTAGCACATGATGAACTCATGGATGGGTGAAGACTAACTTTCGGAGGGGTTTCTCCTACTCCTATAGGAAGGTCTCAATGCGGGGCGGCCACCTGCAATGCCTACACGTACATACTGACTTTAGGGGAATTGTCGAACTCCTGAGCTGAACCCTCATTTTTGGGACTTTATTCGCTAGCGGTATAATAGTATTATTATCGTTATGTTTACATTTGAATCATGTGGCAAAGCGTTAGTGTTCCGCCCGATTTTCCTGGGGAATTTTCGCATTTTCCGCTTGAGTACTAGGCGTATTTTTGTAGAGAGAGAGAGTTGAGTATGCTCTATTATTAGTGGAGTTAATTGATTTATGCTGCGAATGTTGGCTGCTCTCTTTTGCTAAACGATCGATTGATAGTTATATATATTTATATATGCTTTACATGCTGTATACGTGTGTGTGGTGTGTGTGTGTGTGTGTGTGTGTGTGAGCTTAAAACATTTCCGTTTCCGTTTGTCTTTGTGAGTTGGGAGTTGAGTTCTGTTCGGTCGGTTTTCAGTTTTTCGGTTTTTCGGTTATATAATGTGATGCGCGCTATAGTTTCTTCTAATTAAACTATGTAAATGTATCTTTTGTTTCGGTTTTTCGGTATTCGGTATGGTATTTTCTGAACTTTCTTTGATATTTACTGATATTTTCTGTTCGTTACTCCTCGGCCTTTGTTTTTTCTTTCTTATTACTCTCTATCTGCTCATTTTGGTTTTTAATTTTCTTTCATTTCTGTATACAAAAAATTCTGTTTTCAGTTTGCCTTTTTTTGGTTGATTTTTCATTGTTTTTTTGTCGTTTCTTTTCGTTTTTGTTTTCTTTTGTTTTGTTGTTCATTTGTTTAGCGGGTAATACAAATGCTTAGAGTTAGAAAAAAAAATTGTTTATATATATATATAATATATATATTATACATATATGTAGAATTATTTGTATGCTTGACTTAGTTAACCTACATTCGAATACATGAACACTTCAAGATATCATTGTAATAAGTAATTTAATTGAATTGAATTTAATTTAATTAAACTGTTACTCCTCTCTGCGATTTCCACTTGCGATTTTCTTGACTTTCATTTGCCGCTTTTGTTGTTGTTACTGTTGTTCTTTCGAGTTGTTGTAGCTGTAGCGTCTCGTTTAAGTGGCTGCTCCTGCTTTTCCTCGGTGAAAGTGATGCTGATCATCGATTTTCTCGTTTTTCTTCTCATCTTCTTCTTCTACGTTTTCGATTTCTCATTGGGGTTAATACAGAAATGCAATTTTCCGCGGGCGTCGTCTCGACTTTGTTGATGTTTGGTTTAGTTAACGCTGCATGACAAGCAAAGTGCGGTGTGTTCTACGGGGCGTATGAGTGATGTCGCTATAAGCGTGGTTGTGTGTGAGTGTTGCGTCGTCTGTGTGTGTGTGCGTGTCTGTCCGTTTCCGGTGCTGTCCATTGTTGCTGTTCTCCTCACACTTTGACCTTGTCCTTTGGGCAACTGTTCTATGGGTCGCCGATCGCTGATTTCCCAAGCGATCCCTTGTGACTTGTGACCTTGTGACCCCTGGCCGACGGCAGGCGCTACTTGCCACCGGCCTGGGAGTCCTGTCCGGAAGTCGCAGGACTTCCGTTCTCTCTCCTCCGATTATCCATTATCCATTTACTTATTTTCGTTACATTAATTGATTGACATTGATTTTGTTTCCAAATTCCTCTCGTTGCGTGGCTGTTTTGATGTTTTCCTATTTTCTTCCATTTTCCTTCTGCTTTCATTCCGCTTCCATTTGGTTCTGTACTTCTTTTGTGGTTCTATGCCCTGTGGTTTTTGGGTGTGTTTCAATCGACTATCGATCATGGTTGTAAATGCTGATTTATGACTGACTGCGAGCTGACGATAGTTTTTTTGGTTGTATTTTTGAGATACGTTTTTTAAAGATTTTTTAGCGGTGTGTTGAGTTTGTTATGAAGCGGCTGCTGCGAAGATCTCTAGATTCCATTGTGGTTGTAATTTTTCTTTCTTAGTCTTGTTCTTGTTGTTGTTGATTTCGATGGTTTTCAAATGGAGACGACAAATTGCATTTTGTATTGCTTCTAATACTCCCAATATCATGCATCCTGTATTTCACCTTTTAAGCCAGGCACCCTGTGGTGTTGGTTATGTCCTAAACGATTCGCTAAGTCCTGTACAACATCACGAAATATAACTGTATCTATGTTTTCACCTAGTAAATACAACAAAAACCAATCGCCCATCTTCGAACGACGAACGATTATTTCAATAGCGTCACGACGCACTAACCTGCAATTGGAAAGAGATTGTTAGGTAAATGTGTTTTAAAAAAATGTAAGGAACGGATTTTTGGGGCTCACTAGATTTGATAAGGGGATAAGTGCTACATTTTTTAAATCATTTTTGGGGGTGCCTAAAGGTATGCAGCAAGAAATGGATTCGGATTGCTGCATACTTTTAGACCCCCTATGTTAACCTCAGTTCTGGCTTATTTTTCTCTTGCCTAGTTATCCCCATATCATCCCCAGTACACCCCTCTACTGTCCGCAGAACTCACCTAAATCGCATACGAAATAAGTAGACCCTCATTCGAGGAGAGAATATAATCACCACCCTGTATATTAGCGTTAATAATGTGAGAAACGTTAATAATATAAACCAAAACCAAAGGAAAATGTAAATCTTCTCATTAACAACGTTTAATGGTAAAATGCAAATGGCGTCGTGTTTCTCCACCTAGAAGAACAGATTCAATTATTATTTGATTCTTGGGTTTGTAGAGAGCTGCATTCGTTACTCACCTCCCCACTTGAACCATATTTAAAAAATGTACATTTGGTCATTCTGGGAAATATGTAAATCATCGGATCCATGCGATCTTCCTGATCGGTCTCCATATAATCTATCACTTCCAGGCCAAATGTCATAAATTCGCCATCGAAAAATCGATTCATAAGAAACATTTGACCTGCAAAAGAGCCGCAAAAAAGATACAAATCAGCACCAAAAAGATACAGAGATACACTTTTCGTTCGTTCGGTTCATCTGTCTATATCTATCTATCTTGATCCTGACTATCTGACTATCTGTTTATCGGACCCCGGGATTAATGGGTTTGTTGCCTTTGCCATCCGATTTTCCACCTCTTATTTTCCATTTACCGTCCCTTTCTTTTTTTCTTTTTGTTGTGCATGGGTGCATAGGTGCTCTTTGGAAAATTCGGCGTTACGATCCGATCGGATCCGCTTGATCGATCGATTTAAGGCCAACGAGGCGGGAAAGAATCGATTTACTTCGCAATTACAACTCACCCACACCCGCTCGCCCCATTAATAATGGCAGATAGGCCATACGAAATCGGATTCGGACTTGGATTTTTCAGATTCGTAATCAAAATCCATCAATTGGCCGCGCTAATTGCGGCTAATTGGTATGGAGATGGAGGTCAATGAACAAACAACGCCCCTAAGGTACGTTAATTTTTATGGCGGACTGGTTTATCGAGAGAACAATAAGGGAATAACCATCGGTCTTATGCTGCCATTGGGGCACTATCGAATTTTAACGAGCACTTTCTGCACTGCTATAGTTGGCATAACTATTTGCCTAATAAACTTTCGAATAAACAACCAATGAGTGCTCAAAAGTAAAACTGCTTAACGAGAAAACTATTGCTAAATGGCTCTTGATGAATTTTAAAAGGCCTATTTGGCCACTGGATAGATGAGATTTCTCATACGCAGAAGCAAAAGCCTGATTCCACTGACACATATTTCTACATCCCGACCGAATGTACATTATCCAGGCAAGAAGGCTACAATCGAGGTCTTCGACGGTACTCAATTGGGGAATAATATATTTTTTTAAATTTTAAGCTACTTTTTTACCAGTAAAATAAAACAAAAAATAAAATAAATAGTAAACAGTATTAAATATATTGTTCGCCGGTATTTCTGGAACCACCATTAAATGCATTTCATGGCGCCTCACCTTTCAGCCAGTTGAGGGAAAATGCCTCCCGTTTTCCATTTACATTTCCACTTTTTCCTGGCGGCTAATTGACCCATTTCAAATCTCTGGCCAATTAGGCCCGCGTTTCCCAACGGATCACCGATCGCCGCCCCTCGCTCCTCCATTAACGAACGCGATGTCAGCCATTTTATAAACGTGTATTACTCGCATTATTATTGTTTATTTCCCATGTTTTCTGACAGTTCATTATTTTGTCAGATTTCGGATTTCAGCGCGTACGCCCCTCGAGGGGACCTCAAAAACATCGGGGCGCTTTGTTTATTTTGATGCGGGGCGGTCAGTCGATAAAAATTCGTCATTGATTTTTCGGCGTAAAATCGAACGGGGAGTGTTATTGAACGCCGAATTTATGTTGCCCCTTTCCCAAGAAACCGTTTAGTTAACCCCGAAACATTGTTTACCGATCTCACTGGCACCTGGGGAAGTCAAAGAATTGCCATGTGCACCGAAAAAAATTTGGGCTTTGTCATCGATATTGGACTGTCTCACTTTACTGGTAAATAAAGTCCTTTAGGCTTGTTATTATATTTCCCAACTTGAGTACTGGGCAGCTCCCTGTCAAGACACTCGACTTTAGCTTTCTTCCGTTTTTCATATCAATTTGACCTTTCAGGCTCGAAAGTAAGCCAGGTTCAAAATCATATGGTATTGTTGCAGCGTTAAATAATGTGATCTAGGATCACTATGGTTCTGATGATCCATAACGATCTCAAACACATCGGTTTGCTAATCCTAGATGTTATTTTCATGCACTACTACTCACCTATCACATTTATAAGGGCGAGCAGCTCACACACGTAATATCTGTACGCCCACCAATTGTGATATCTGCAAATGAAGTCGGTGGATATAAGGCAATTAGCTGTGATTCAGATGTAAATAAATATATACACAAATAAGCGAGCTTTGCAAATGCCAAAACGTTTGTTCGCGATTCCTTGGTCTCTGGAAAACTCGGAATAGTGACTCACAGTCGATTTCCGGAGAATTCTTGGTTAATGGCGGGCACTTTTGCCCGGAAATGTTTGTTCCGCGAATCGTCTACAAAGGTGAGTTTCGGTGCATTGTACTCTCTTAAGAATTTTGTAAATATTTTGGATCGCTTTGATAAATGGGTTTATTCAGTTGAGCCCGCTCTTTTAAGTTACTTGGTTGTGTTAAAAAAAAACGATTGAGGTAAATAAATTTACCTGGAAAGAAATATTTTCTTTATATTTGGAAACAATTAAAATTTTCGAACTAAATGTTGGCCATTTGCAGAGCACGCCTTATTTGATCCGCACTTACCTTAAATTTTCCCACAAATAATCTAAAAGTAATTTCTTTTTTTGTTTTTTCTCGGCTTCGGAACAAATGCCTATGTCTAAGTCCATGATGAGCGCATGAATCTTGCCACCCTCCCAAGATTTCCACAGCCATCTTGGTGTATAAAATAAGATTGCCTGCAAAAAGCGAATAGAGACAGAGATATAGTATATGTATTTATAGAGATCTGCAAAGGTGAGTTCCGTGTGGGCGTGATGTCGCATTGGAACTGTCGTAAAAGCGAGAAAAATACCCCTGACAAGTGACATTCGCCAGCTGTTGGTTAGATTGAGGATTGGAGATTGTGGACCCCTGATTCCAGTCGAGAACAATGCCAAATAGCCCTACCCATAGGCATTAGTGACTGACCTTCCCCGGCGACATAATTGACTTTGCTAATTCCACTCCACTCCATACCAATTCTTGGCCCTTGTCAACTAGCCATGAGCCATTAGGGACAGTTTATCCGGCGGGTTTACCAGCCACAATATCGGGCTATCCGAAAGACAGACAGGCAGACACGAATTCTTGCTTAATTGTACCCATTAACTAAGCAATCAGGGGTGTATTCGCTCTAGATAAGGAATATATGGTTCCATGTTTCAAAAGAATATAAATAATCCCCAGGTATTATAGTGAATGAAATAGAATTTTTCAAGATAATAAAAATAGTAATACGAAGGTGCAACTTAAATCCCAAGAAAATGTGCCTTAAAGTATGCATCACTATTATTTCGGGATTCATACTTTCTTTTTAGTGTGAAGTGCCTACTTTTGGACACCTTCATAATAAATTCCAAGTAATAATAGTTCCTAAAATATATATTCCTAGAAATTTCCACAAACCATTGCTTTAATACGGGGTATCTAAGAGTCCCAAAACCAGCACCCCAGCATTCCTGCTCGTTATAAGTCCGTCTGTATTTTCTTTTGTCGGGGGGATTTTAATGCCCCACTCGATGACAAATTAATAATAACTTGTATCGTAAATTAGCCGGGGATTCGGCCCATCTTCAGACAGCTGGGGATTGGGCGAGTCGTGCAGATTGTGTACGGTGTGTTTGCTTTGGCACATGACAATGTCGCCCCATCATTATTGTCGTGATCTTGAGTCTGAGACCGTCCTGGCAGGTGGTAATCCCCATGTCTTGCGTCTTTCGGGGTGAGAGTTCAGTTTGTTTAGTGGGCGCCCGCCTGGCGGCCGTCCGTCAATCTCGACCAGCGAATTTCCCATCCGCTCTCGCATATTTCACCACACGCGCTCCGATTTTGCATTTCTGCGATCTTTTTTCTGGCATCTCTGCAGTTCCAAACTATTCGCCATTGTCGCTGGCATTTGGCTGTAATTGGCCCAAAACAACATCTGCAGCGCATTCTATCGGCGAATGACGGCAATCGTTTGGCACAGCGGCGGTCAAGACTATAAAGACCCGAAATAAACAGCAAGCACATTTGGAGACAGTTCAGAAAACGGGTTTGGTGGTTTTAAGGAGAATATATGTTAAGATCTGGTCAAAAGCGGCTTAACAAAAATGTTGTTACTTAGAAATTTGAAAAACCTTATTCAAATTTGGCATACAAAATTTCAGAATGTCTTTCCTCGGTCATTTAATTTTTGAAGAACATCCAAAAATGAAATTGTTTGTATTCAATTAAAGTATTTTAATAGTATAATTTAAATAAATTGCTTTGTGAACCTTGTAAAATGTGTGTACCAAGTGTAGAAATGTAATGGACCATGAAGAGTATGCCTCTTTCATTTGAATTAAAATGACCTTTGAGGGTTTTGCACAGATTTGATCGCAAAAAATTTTAAAAATTTAAATAATATAATGCGGAAATTGGGGCTATTATTCTGTGTAGAATTGCTGTTCTTAGGGAGAGGTCTGTTGCCACGCCCTGCCGGAAGTCAAATGATGCGTTTGATTTGGCCTCATTCATACCAGCCTGCCCTTTTGTGTATACAATCGCCAATTGCATTTCCCCGACGACAGCCCAAATGAGGAAGAGAAAAGAAGGGTGGCCTCCCCCACTTTCCGCCCGCTTTTCCACTTTTCCTCGGTGCGTGTGTGGAAAGCAATTTGGCAAGCGTTCAAATCGCAAAGGCATCGCGTAAATGCAACTACAGCAGAAGCAACAATCAAAGCGAAAGGCAGAGGGCAAAAGAGACGTCTCCGAAGAATTCTTCGCTGGGTCTGCAGACTCCAGGCACAGTGGTCCGAGGTGTGGTTAAAATAAGAGATAGGAATATTAGCCATCTGGGGTATAAAAAGTCCAAAGGGTAAATGGAGGGGAAATTAAGCTCCTAATAAATAAAATTAAGCTAGAATTTCTCTTGGCTCTTGTATCGTTGATGATTTTCCAAGGAATTGAAGATGTTCTCAACAGCTTCGTATTCAGAATAATTCGAGATGGTAGAAGTAATTTAATTGATTCCTCTGCATAGCCTAAATAATTATTGTAATAAGTCTATCTTAAAGACATTGTATTAAGATGAGTAAGTACTTTTTTCAGATCTAGCACCCAAAAAATGTTTAATCAAGAAATCATTAATTTCAGTTTCCGAATTCGAATGCTTTCCAACATAAAGAAACCATAGAACTTGTCTAAGCGACAGATAATGGCTTATGGCTTTATTGTTCGATTTTTCTAAGGATGACCCACAGTCCCGCGAAGGAATCGCCTAGGATGTGTCTGATCCCATCTAATCCGATCTGTCACTCCCCCAGGCGACGGCCTCCCTTTTTTTTTTATAAATTCGAGGGGAGGTTAAAAATACACGCGCATAAGTCAAATATAAACAGTTCCCACTCCAAGAACCTTCGGCCATACTCCCTAAGTTCCCGGCTCCCGATTCCCAGTCCCAAGTTCCCTATTCCCACTGGCATATCCATGGCTTTTTGTTTCAGCAATTCCCTGGCATCTGGCCAGAAATATTATTTCACTTTTATGTTTGTCTGCGCCTTTTCAATAAATATCTAGACATGCCGGGCGCAGAAATATGGATGGAAGAGCGGGAAAAGTCGGGGCGACAGGCTATACGAGTATAGTGGCGTAGAAGAAGAAATGCCAATTTTTGACATATCCGAGGGAGAGACCGGATCGATCAAATGGAAATTGATGGCTGCAGGTCTTTTAATTTTTATGGCTGCACTGTCCAAGTTAATGACTGATCTGTCCATTAGATCTATGTAGTTCATCCATTATAATCCGAAATTAATGGTAATTGAGCCAGGTGCTGTGTTTTTATTAGAATATGTTGGGGTCTTTCGATCATCTGAGGTGCGATTGCACAATAAAAAATAAAATGGGCTTCAATATCATTTTTGTTATTCTTTTTTTTCGTGTGTAAATACCCCTACCACTGCGCTCTCGAAAATCAATGAGCCACGATTGCCGGCATTATTTTCTATTTCTCGTTTTGTTTTCTGTTATTAATAAATCGTGCAGCGAAAATTGGGGGAAAGTGTAAATTATAGAAACGCGTCTACGCGTCATTAAGCAGGGAGAATACCATGATAAATGTATTTATAGGAATTTGGGTGACTAGAACGTCTCTATAATCGCTCTGTGACACTAACCGAGAAAAGCTTCCCCGATTTTCCCCGCCCGGCAAAGTGTGATAAAAATATACATTTAATATTTGTACATTGTTAGCGGGAAGATATATTGTGTAATCGACGCACCGACCAGCAAACGCCTCTCTCTCTATATGTGTATGCGACCCGATCTATATATACCTATACACGCCATATGGGCCATACGGCGACGTCACCGATTTGGCCAGGGGTGTGGAAAACGGGAGGCGAAATGGCATCCATGACACAATCAATCTCCTTTAAGCGGTGCCAGCAATTAGCGATGACAGTTTGGGAATAGATCAGTTGGCGGAAAATAGGAAGGAAGGGGAGAGTGGGAAAATCTGGGGGACCTATAGACTCATAGAATTTTAATTCTTTATCGATCGATGTGGACCTACGAAAATATTAATATTCTGGAGTGTGAATAATCGATACAGAGGTTAAAAGATAAATTAAGATGATTATAAAAATAATTAGAAAGGCATAAATAAAATATAATAAATATTATTATTTATCCAGGCGTTTCAAAAAGAATATGAACATCTGTCCAGGGTACAATAAACTTTTGTCATCTTCGGGTCCAGAATTTGGCACCATGTCGTCATTACATTCATAATTCATCGATCGAATTTTATCATAAATATTCCAGATTCGGCATATGTATTCTGAACATTGCTCCAGGCTTCAATTATTATATTAACATCTTCGGGTCCTGGTTAGGTCTGGTTTGGTGGCTACTGTTATCGGTGGGTTAATCACTTTGTTGTTCCTAATGTTTCGCGAATTATATCTATATTTTCACAAAGGTACACTCCACTATCAGTTGAATTATTTAATCTCTTTTCTAGCTCATTCAAAGTTTGACTCATTCTGTTAGGGGTTCCCCTCTGTGCTTTACACCTATTAATTAATCATTATGAAACCGTCTTACTCATGGTGCTTTTGAATGAAAAAATAGCTACTCAAAGTATTGTTTCGGCTCTTGTTGTTTACTAACATGTTTATTTTTGGCTCAATAGTTTAATATTATTAATTTATTTATTTTTGACCTAAAAGCATCAGTTGGAAACAAAATTGTATGGGAAATCAATGGCCATTGCTAGTCAAACATTTCAGTTTTCCTGCTGTTTGAATATTTCTTTTTGTTTTATGCTTAGATAGCATTGAAAATTGCGCAAAGAAACAAAACAAATAAAAAACGCTTTGAGCATATAAATAAAATGTGGCATCACCCCCTCCTTCGCATATGTTAATAAACTTATGCTGACTGACGCAGGGGAAAATGGAAGTCGAAATAAATGGAGAACAACAGTTTCCAAATGAACTGTAAATTTAAAAATTGCAATGTTTATAAACAAACTTTCCCGTCGAGTTGCCGATAATAAAATCAAAACAACAGCGATAGCAAAGAGCCAAAAGCGAAAAGTTGAGTACACAGAGAAAAGTGGCAGGCTATATCTTTAAAACTTCAATGAGTATACGCACACGTGGCCCAGTCGTCATCGTTTTATCGTCATTTCACCATCAAGCAATCCAGTATTTCCACAGCGCCGTTT